CAGCGTTGCAAGAGACAGTGTACTTTCAAAAGTATCAGGCTGTTGCATGGTAACATGTTTGATCATGCTTTCATCGGTTAAACCGGCGAGAAACTGCGATTTCAAAATATCATCTTGACCAGCAATATCAAGATTTGGGTAAGCAAGAATAACAAGCTCTTTCAAATTGTTACCATAATCCTGTGGCGCTTCATTTGGCTTAATCCTACGACAATGAAATGTAGTACGATATGAGCTCGCATTTCCTGCAGGTTTGAAATATTGATTAAAATGAGCCACAATATCTCGATAGCTAGTACGTTTCATATCTGGTAAATCTTTCAACACATTTAGAGCTTGACCTGTCATGCAAGTAGCCAATTCTAATCCTGCAGTGTCGTCATCCCACTGATTATATATAATAACTGGTAACCAATTCAAAATGGCATAAATAACTGGGTCACGTCATGACAGTGGATCCATCAAAATACATTGGCTTTTTGGCATTTCTTGCCATCATCGTAGCATTAGCTGTGTTATTGAGTACACTACGGCTAACATTGGCATTTAGGACACTGCTAACGCTCACTGGAGGAGCTGATTGTGTAGCCACTGTAACCGTTTTCGGCCTAGTACTAAGTTGTCTTCTGACATTTGTGCCCTCATTACCATTATCATTCAGAAAAGTAATTGTAGGTGCAAGGTTACTCACATGACCATTCTCCAAAAATTTCACTTCTAATGTCTGCGAGAACGTGTTCCGCTTCCCTTCTGGTTGTCCATCTTCTGATCCAAAATCAGAAATTTCATCATGCTTGGGAACAGGAGCTACTTTTGGAACAACCGTTGCGGGTGTTGAAGTGATCAAGCTAACATCTGAGACATGTGACATGGGCTGAGTTTCCTCAGAATCAGCAACTTTTCCTGTTTTAACCACGCCAGAAATATCTTGCAGCATGTTGTAAACATGCTCAAAAGATGAGCCAATTTTCGCATTCTGGAGTTCAACTGATTCTAGTTGACTTCCAATCTGTTGCACACGACTGTCTATCAGTTGCAAACGGCTGTCAGTCTCCCCTTTCTTTTCTTCTGATTCCCTCAGTTTCGCCTTCAATACCTGTATTTGCAGATGCAAAAGTTCATTCTCCACTCCAATATCACCACTAAGGTTTTTTCTGCCAGCTTCTTGGACACTGAAGTTGCAATAGATGTCTATCACAAAATATTCTTCTTGCGGTACAGCAGAGTAACTAAGTTAACTAACTAAATTAATTATACACCTGTAAGAACTTAATACAACCAAATACTCCAATTAAAAATACAATAAACAAATAAAAAAACAGTATCAAATACCATACAGAACACAAATAGGAATTGGTCTATGACGTCACAGTCATGAACTATTGACATGTAATAGAATATACAAAAACCAGGAAAAACATACCTAGAAATACATAAGAATAACTAGTATGACACTAAAGATACAACACAAATCCTATCTTACCGACAAACACCTATATACCTGGCAATACACAGAAAAATACGGATATCACACTGGAAAGTAACTACGAAAATAGACTAGTTACGGAAACGTTAAATACAAGGTAACTAGTGAACAGAGCTATGCCAAACTAGAGAAACACTAAACCTGTACTACTAATATCATTTTACAACATAAATTATACAGATTAACGGCACTAAAACACTATAATGATAACCTAAAACACAGAGGAAATTCCACACTGCCGGCACTCTGACAAACCAGCTAAAAAGGAAAGATACTCAGCTGCTCACTAATGACTCAAGTGGTAAGAATAAATATGGGCATACAGAATAAAACAGAGTTATAGACGTGGTCGTCTCACTGGCATAGGTCCGTTGGTACCGGTACAGTCAGTGGTGAGATTCAAATTTTTTTTCTGCCAGTTCCATCACAAAAGTCATATTTTTTCAGCCGGTTCTGTTACAAAAAGTCATTGACAATAACCGGTAATGCTAACCGGTTCGCTGTTCTCAAAAAATTCCGTGAGACGGTTCTATAGAATCGGTGCGAACCGGCTGAATCCCACCTCTGGGTACAGTGCCTCACGATTTTAGGCTTCCCTAATGATATTTTGAACAGATGCTTTTCGTGTAATGATCTTTAGGTATATCCTACCATTAACGTCTTTCTCTACCACTCCCCGCATACTTGTTCTCCATTATTACGAAGATTCTTCAAGGTTTTCTTACTGAAAACGACACTCTACCCGCGTTCCGCTGCAAAAAAAGTTGTGCAGACGACGGTAAGTAGTAAACTACCACTAGATGTCAGATAGTGGCCAACCGATTCACGTTAAATTATAATAAATAAACAAAGGCAGCTTGACGTCCTATTGTTACGTATTGTCTCTGTTCTAACTGACCGTTTTATTTCTAATCTACTGTTTCTAAAACACCTCACGAAAAAATGTTGAAATCGTCGCAGCGTTATAAGCAACACATTAAATTGCGCATTCAGTGTCGTTCTGAAACTACATCGAGTCCACCCACACGCCATCTTTCCACAGATTATGAAAATTTACTTAGTATTTATTAGAATATTTTTATCAATTAATTTACCGTCTGTTTTACTGTTTTAAAAGTAAAAACGAACTTATAATCCAGCCCGTGCTCTCGTGTGATTTTCAGTCAAGCATGTCGCACGTGATTCGCAACGCTCGAGTTGGAAATAACAATAAAATATTCAATCTCAGATTTCAACGTGGCAGACGGATTTCGTATGTGGTTGACGATTTTCACAGCAGAGTTTTAATATTTAATGATATAAACAGGATTATATGGTTACCATATAATTTAAATACTTTTTCATTAGTTTCATGGCAAACATAGACACGAGTCTGAAAAAGTTTTATTACCGCGAGACGGATGGTTTGCGATGTGCTTACAATGTTATATCTCAAAATGAATACCGGTATGACAATCCTATGGACTATGATACCGTAGTATAAGGACAAGCTTTTGAGTTTGAAAGCGCTTTAAGCTTGTGACATATGTTTAACCCGCATTTGTCTGTTTTACGTATTTTAACAATTCAGCCTAAGGGCAGATACCACGGCCTGACGGCTGCCAAGGCAACCTGGCAACGCTTTCCAGCCGTTATGGCAAGGGCAGTTAGGACAGACTGTAGGAGAGTGGGAGTGGTGACTCCTCTGCGGCTCATGGGCCGGGGCCACGGCCCATTGAATTGGGCCTCGGCCCATCAAGTTGTGTAAAGAAACTATTCACTTGGCTAACACAGACAGTCCCCGAACTCATAATAGAACTATAATTTAAAAAATCTGATTTTTTTGTCCTAACCCTAACCTGGTACACATACCGTACTACAGGAGTATATTTTTTTGGTTCGAATATTGACAGTTTGGTAAAAATTGAAAATTTTGTTAAGATAATTGAATTTTTCCTGATGGGGGCCGCGGCCCATCAAGCTATGGGCCACGGCCCATGTGGCCCAACTAGATGGGCCGTGGCCCCGGCCCATGGGCCGTAGAGGAGTCACCACTCCTGTAGCTGTAGGAGAGAAGCCAATTAGGTATTCAATGTCTTCATCTAGTTAGCGAGTATTTTAGTGTTGGAACTGGGGATAGAACTGATTGCTGGATTTGAAGGTGTAAATTAATTATAACTCAGGCAGTCAGGCTACTCTTTTACTTTATATGTTATACGGTATATTTGTCATCATTGCATCACTAGATTCAGAAATAAACAAATTAAACTGATTTTTAGGTAAACTGCTCGACTAGGACACTTTGGGTCTAGTATAGTTTAGTACCACAAGTACTTCCGGTGGGCGTAGCATAACAAATTTTGCATATGCTATTCCTAACCCCCACCTGACTATGCCATCCAAAAATTACGTCACTACGATGTCACCATCACGTCATAGGGATTGCCAAAGTATAATTACGATCGCCCGAAATGACATCTGCGCCGCCGATAACGAACTTGCTAAAGCCGGCGATTACTCTCCTATCGTTGTGACGAGAAAACGAGAGAAATCTATTGCTCGATTTCGGGTGATCGTCAGCGCGTTTTGGACGACCAACCGCATACTTCGGTGGGCCTTATTAGGCCACTGTGCCGTCGAAATGACGCAATTTTTCGGTGACGTAGTCAGGTGGGGGTTAGGATTGACATATGCAAAAATTGTTGAACCAGGTCAACTAGAAGTACATGTGGTACTGAACTATACCAGACTCGACGCTTTGGCCTTTTTTGATCTTTCTATTTGAATTTTAGTGCAAAATATAGTTTTCAATTGAGGATTTGATGTTTTGCAAAATGATATCTTCAATTCTAAGTACGGCACACTATCCAAATTCCAAGAGTCCCCCTCCATTTAATTCAATAAAACAAACACTCCAAGTGTCTCACAAATGAGGGGCGTCTGGCACAACGGCAGATGCGTCATATCGCAACATGCTTGTCTCGATAATAATCTAAATTAGCGCGGCCGTCCCAAGACCAAAATTGCCGTTTTTTGATAACTCTCAAATGGCTCAATAGAAAATTATTTCATTCAGTAAACCAGATTATTTTTTCCTGAGGAATTCAATGATGACATTTTTAGATTGCGCTTCTTTGTAGTTTTTTGCGCAACTTCATTTTACTGTATTTTAACTGATATTGAGAGACAACAATGTCCCAAAGGAGGGGTGTTTGTTCATCGTCAAAATGGGATTCTTTGAAACGAGACACTGTCTCTCGATTTGTAAAGTGTATCATACTGACATAGGCTGGTAACCGGACCGAAGGCTTTGGCTCACAATATGGTTAAGCCGTCTTATCGACTTTCGTCTCCCCCGTGGCTAAATATATAAATCCTATCAAAATTCCTATTGATGTTAAACTAAATTTCTGTTAATATTAGTCATGCATCTGACTATTTTTCTGTAAAAGCTGTAAAAACAGAGTAAAAAAAGGCAGAATAGGGAATGAAAGATAGTACTGATTTTTCTCATCTGTAGTGTGATATCTTTGACTCAGCAGAACTAAATTTATTCATATAAATCCACTGTATTGAACTATCTGTATCAAGCAAAAGCAGGAAAAATGGCTTCAAGTACAAAGAATGGATCAGAAGTCACAGGCTCGGGAGAACCAGAGGCAAAAAGAGCAAGAAAAGTTGCTTTGATAACAGGTATGGATGAGATTGAAAAATTTAATTAATTTTAACAAACCTTTGATGAAAATCTTCTGTGCCATTTCCAAAGTCCTCAAATCTCATTAGAGGGTTCATTTTGAAAATCCACTGTTCTGTACTGATGGCCCATGTTCACTCATCTTGTGCCAGGGATCCGCGTCCATAAGTAAATTAACCTATTTGGAAATTTATTGACCCGCATTCGGGTGATTTAGCAAGCATGTTCGAATGTGAGCGTTGCTTTGTCGACCTTCATTATCTTGTGGCCCATTTTCAATTTCTAAAGTACTTGAAATTAATTAAATGAATCTTTTCATCCTCAAAGCTCACTTGAGGGACCGCGTTGAGAACCACAGACCGGATTAGAATCATCCTAATGCAACCTATCTTCATCCCTCCCCGACTCATACCTGCTGTGATGTGTAATTAGTGAGTAGTACTTGGCTTTATGCCCTTGACTTTCATTTAATCCCCACTGCTTCTACCAAAAACTGCTGTAACCACTTCGCTTCACAGGAGCCAGAGCTTCGAGAAGAAAGAGTCACATGCGTCTCCGGAGTTGCAGGTTGCTGTTACTGATCTAATCAATAACATATTTTCCAGGCATCACCGGTCAAGATGGCTCCTACCTGACAGAATTTCTTCTGGACAAAGGTTACCAAGTCCATGGAATTGTGCGTCGAGCCAGTCAGCCTAATACGCAGAGGATTGAGCACCTGTACGCAGACAGAGCTACCCATCAGATGGGTCAAATGATTCTGCATTATGGGGATCTGACGGACAGCACTTGCCTTGTTAAGATTATAAACCAGGTTTGTGTATTATTATGTTGCTACTAACAACTCACTAGGCGAGAAAAATTACCTTTTTAATTTGGAACATGTTCTACAGCAGGGGTGGGCAATTACTTTTCTGAGTGGGCCTGTTACAGATAATAGAATTGGTTACTTGGTCGGGGACTCAGAACTCAATATGACAACCTTTGAATAAAAAATTTACACTATTTACAGGAGCTAGTCCAACAGCTATGCTAACGGTTATAAAATAATAATAAGCGCAATGTAACAAACAGGATCATTATGACGTTATTTTTACCGACATTTTCAGCGGAATTTTATATCCACAAAAATTGTAATTTCAGCATACATAAGTGTGTTTCATGAAACAATTCGGTGGGTCGGATCCGGCCTGCAGGTCGCAATTTGCCAACCCCTGTTCTACAGAGAACATAACTTTTGTGCAAGGTGTAGGCCTACTGAATTTTTAAAACTCATGGGTACAATCACATACAAAAGGATTTTGAGTCTTCAATAAATTTTCTTCATTTTCGCACAAAGATTTACGAAATTTTCACTCTATGCATTTCAGGATCTGTTCATAATTTTACATTAATCAAACCCAATGAATATACTGTACATAGATTTCCACTTATCCTCTGTTAAAAATGACTCATTTTAGAATATATTTCCAATTTAAAATTTCATTTGAAAATTCTATTTTGGTCTTATTTATTTCTAACTATTCAGGTATGGCCACACCCACATTCTTGCACTAACATCCTGCCTATCCTTAGTCACGCCCTTCCTTTGCACGCGCTTGACTGAGAATATAATGAGTCAATGGGTTATCCTTTGTCTCACAGTTTGACTATTTTTCTAAGTATGTTCCAAAAATAGATTTTGAATATATTATATTAGTAAAAGTTTGATAACTTGTGTGCTTTTTTAAGCATAAACTGTCAGAAAAGATTTTATGCTTGATGGGGATAAGGTTTACGCACACTCATAATCAAGAAAATTTGTCTCTAGTAAATTGGATAGGCAATAATGTTTCTCCCCAAAATACTAGTGGGAACCTAAAAACAATGTATTAAAAAAGCATTTTCTAATTCCACTATTCCCTCTTCCAACCTAAATACAATGTAAAAAATTCCCTTTTCTAATTTCAGATTCAGCCTGACGAAATTTACAATCTCGGAGCTCAGAGTCACGTTAAGATTTCGTTTGAAATTGCTGAATACACTGCTGATGTGGATGGTCTTGGTACGCTGCGTATTCTCGATGCGATTCGAACCTGCGGACTTACTAAGAAAGTCAAATATTATCAAGCGTCGACTAGTGAGATGTATGGAAAGGTGTGTACTGTGTAGCCTATCGTTTTTTTGCTGATTTGTTAACACTCTGCCTATATATACTGCCTAGAGCAGGGGTTCCTAAATTTTAAGCTTGCTACCACTTCTAATATACTAAAATTTTCTGCGCTCCCTGTTAAGTCATCATTATTATGCAAGCTCATAACATTCTATGATCCCGTGTATTCTCTCGAAATCGTGAGATTTGCACTAAATTTAATAATTGTGCTTCGAATCAAAAGTATAAAAAGGGAAATATATATATTAGGGGGGGGTGGGGTATATTGAGCATATGGGGTTAATTGAGTACAAGGTATAAAAAGCTCGCTAACTTTTTTGTATGTTGAGTGAATGGTTTGTACTTTGTAGCAACAATAGTTCATATCCTATGCTTCCATTTCATTGCGTATAATTCACTTGCCTACCAATGATAAAATTGTTTTAGATGTTTGTATGTGAAATTTTTTTTGTTCACGAAAAAAATTGTTTTGAAAACTTTCATGTGACACTTTTCTGATAGTATATTTTAAACTTTCTGTGATGCCTTTTAGTACCTTAGTAAAGACTCTCTTTGCCCCAGTAGATAATTTTTGTGTAACTCATTGACTTTTTGTTTCATTGATGTTTGAAAAAATCGAGGTAAATTGAGTCTGTCGGAAATTTACCGTGGGGTAAATCGGGTATATGCATAAATGGCCTCTCCCACTGCTATAACACAGGATTATGAGGTTCTGTGTGACTATTTTGAGCCCTAACACTTTTTTGTAGCCTTTATTATGTCCATCTTTCAATATAGGCTTCTATTTTTCATGAATATGAGTGTAAATCCACAATGGGCAATCGTGGGATTTTGAGAAAGCAGTTCTTTTCTTGTAACTAAAAAAAATAGTAAAAAAGAAAGCTGTGGACAAGCCAAGCACAGAGTCCTACTCCACCAGTAAGCTTAGTGCATTTACAAAGGCTTTAGTTGACGTAATCACACTCACTGTCATCTCCGAAAACATGTAGTAATAATAAAAAGACAGCCACCCCAGAAAAAGAATTCAGGCGAAAACTATATAACGTCAGTTGAAAGTATATACCATTATACTGATAGGATAGACTTAAACGGATATGATTGGTAGAAAAAAGAAAAGCAGCAAAGAGAAAGATCATAATATTAGTTCAGAAAAGCAGTAACAGATTCAGAATTAGATTGGGCTTTATTGACGAGGAGACAGAATATGAAACAGAATTCTCACATTGTACAGCTGATTATAACAGAGGACTAACTATAAGCAGCATATTCTGACATTAATGAAATCAAGACCTTGACTGGCTGGTTGAAATACGGGGAAAGGGAATTCCTTGGCCAAGTTGTCCTCACCAATGTATATAAAATGAACTTTGTATGATACCAGTGTATGAAAGAGCTCAAAGATTTTGTGTTAGATTTAACCCAAAATAGGAACATAAAAAGTATCTCTATCAAGGAAGTTGTTGGCCAAGTCAAACCACCCATTTCTAGTCCATAGTGAACTCGTATTTAAACTAAAAGCCTATTTGTGGTAAAAAGTTTATGGAAACCATAATCGCGATCTATCATACCAAGTTTAAAGTGATGTCAGATAATTATGTTCCAAGGTTTTTGTAAATACTATTTTTTAAAATAAACTATATGTACCCAAGTTTCTCATGAAGGTCTTTGATTTGGTTCTAGGGCTTTCTTAGATTTGATTTAACTGGTAGATGTCAGTATACTCAATTATCCTCGAAAAATGAGGTAAATTGAGTATACTGACTTCCAAAAAAAAATTGCATTTTAAGATGACTTGAATACATTGAATAAGACTCAAACTCTTATGCAAGGAAGTACAGGGTCAGAATGTTACAATGAAACCATAATTTCACGGAGAATCGATTTCACTCAGATTTTACATCGGTTCAAATGTCAAAAACTACTCAAATAGCCCCACCCCCCCTACTTTGTGTGAAATTGGTGTATTCTTTCTGACCCCTTAAATTCGTTTTGCGCCTCCTGGCAGGGTTGCGACCCCAATGTGAGAAGCCCTAGCCTGGGACACTGGTTCTAGTGGGCCAACCGTCACTGCTGGGGTTTGGATAAATGTATAGTGAGAGGATGCTTTGGTTGAAATCTTCTATTCCAAATAATCATAGCTATTATTCTTGTGAGAGTCAAAATATTTCTTTTTAATTATTGCCTACCTAATAGCTCCTGATGTCAGAAACTGCTTATTCAGAGGAAAATTGTGGAAAAATTAATAAGTATTAGGGGTGGGTTATGTGAGTACGCCTGTCCTGCTGGTAACTAAACAACAGACCACAATTTGCCAAATCATAGTTAAGTCAGTTTATCAACTTATTCACAGCCTACCTCATCCATTATTTCGCAGGTCCAAGAAATCCCACAGACCGAGAAAACTCCTTTCTATCCCCGATCCCCATACGCAGCCGCAAAACTATACGCTTACTGGATTGCAGTCAACTATCGGGAAGCATACGGAATGTATACTTGCAACGGAATTCTTTTCAACCATGAAAGTCCAAGGCGGGGTTTTAATTTCGTCACAAGAAAGATCTCGAGAAGTGTAGCAAAGATACATCTTGGGTTGCAAGGTATGGAATATAATTTGTGACTCTCTCTTTGCGAAAAGAACTTTTTTGTTTTATTGCATTTATTTTATGAGAAAGGTAATGGGCCACAGAATATTTTGTGCCACACAAGTAGCCACAGAAAGAAAAGGTTGAGTGGAACTAGTCTGGTGGTTCTTTCGTTTGACCTGCCCATATTGGCCCTGTTGGGTATAGATTTCTGGTCAAAATTCGGGATTCCAGAAGTATGTGTACCAATATGGAGGTAACTAATTTTGTTCGCCTACTTACATCAAGTTGTCTAACTAAAGGAACCCAAACCTGTGGTCAGGGAGTATATTCTCTTGGCTAACACAGACAGTACCCGAACTTGTAATAGAACTAAGATAAGGAAAACCGGAATAAAATTATGGGCTAACCCTAATCTGGTACACATACTACGGGAGTACCCAAAATTCTAGATATAATAAGGTGAAGGAAACCCATCTCTAAGCAAAGTTGTGACCGAACACTACAATACTCAGAGCTGCTAAAACTATGAAACTATATAGATTTATGTGATACGTTGCCCTGGTTGATCAGTTTCAGTTAAAATTATGCCAATAACTATGCAGTGGTGAATTCTGAATAGCTAGGAACATTTAACCCATGCGGTGTGCAACATTTTTGTCTACCGGCCATATAACCAACTTTGGACATCTAGCTGGGCCACACAAAAAGGAGATAATGTGGTTATCGCTCAGCCTTCCACTAATGAAGGCACCGAACAAAACGGCGAATTAAATCCCGCAACGACAAGAGCAAAAATCAAAATGTAGTTTTACCCATGTGATTGCCTTTTTGAACATAAACTGTTCGATTCTGATTTTATTTGTTATGGGGAAATATCTGAAATTAAAGAATATGGCATGTAGTTAATTTTTAATCGATTCACACGATTCACCTATGTTATTTTCTTTCACAGATCACATGGAGCTGGGCAACATAGACTCAAAGAGAGATTGGGGCCATGCCAGAGATTATGTGGAAGGAATGTGGGCAATGCTGCAGCATGAAACGTAAGTATGATATGAGAGCTTCTTCGTCTGGTTGCTTTTCATAGGAGAGAATTTACATATTTATCCCGGGGGAGAATAAAAGTGATAAGATGGCTTAATCATATGGTGAACCACGCCCTCTTGTTGCAGTTACCACTTCATGTAAGGTATAGGATTAGTTAACCAGTTATTTGTGTACGAAAGAATGGACCTGCCGGTGGGGAGGGCTCACGTAACAGTCTGTCGTCACCTTGCGGCGACAAGGAGCGATTCTCTCGCATCTCATTAACCTCGCATAAGATTTGAACCTGCGAATCCACATGAGGTAATCAGATGTGCGGTAGCGAGCGAATTCCTAATGCTTAGCATGATGCCCCACACCGCCGAGGATCGCATACGACAAAAGACTTAATGATCGAAATTCGACTTTCTCAGGGCCAAAATTTTTCTTAACCCAGACTCAAAGTCAAATTTCCTCAGACTCTGGCAAAACAGTATTATTTCTCCAAATTACTATTAAATTATTATTCCAGGCCTGATGATTACGTCCTGGCAACAAACGAAACCCACAGCGTTCGTGAATTCATTGAAAAATCCTTCAAACACGTTGGAGTTGAGATTGGATGGAGAGGAAGCGGAACGGATGAGGTTTGTGAACTTTTTTTCTGGAGAATTCACACCGCTGGTTCTTAACCAGTTGCCAATGTCCCACTGCTTGGCTACAGAACTATTTGAAATTGCTGGTTTTATTTATGTCACAATAGTATCAGCAATCAATGACGATGCTGTTTTATGCTACTGAGAGGTAATTCCCATTCTAATCGTAAACGTTTAAGTGTCCATTTTCGCAGAAAGATCTTGATTTTTCTTGTAGTTTTCCCCTTGCAATAAAAAGTTAATTGGCCACAAACATTTTTGGGGGAACAAAAATGGGCCACGAAAGAAAAAAAGTTGGGAGTCACTGATCTAATCAAAGCGAGGTCACTCACACTTGTGAAGTTAAAAGTGAAGGAGACTCACCCTTCCCTGAGCGAAGTTATGGGCACCCACACATTAGTAAAGGAGACTCATTTCTGAGCAAAGTTACAGGTACTCACTCAGAATTAAGAGATTCATCTCTGAGCAAAGTTACGGGCACTCACTCAGAAGTAAAAGAGACTCATCTCTGAGCAAAGTTACGGGCACTCACTCATAAGTGGGCCATTCCAAGCAAAAGTTGAATTCCATCAATTTTTTAAAAAGTGTAGTGAAAGTAATTTTTTTTTATTTTTGATATCAAAAGACATTGGAATTTAATTGGACTGCATTCATTTCATCGAACAATTTAAAATTTCACCCAGGTTTTTGATGGTTTATAAAAAATGGCCTGAAATGTAGAAATTTTGGTATAATTGACATATTTTGTGATGATTCCTGACACAAAGTGTTTGATTGTGTGGTACAGTTATTTCATATGGAATTGACGCACTGGATTTAGGTAAATAAAGTTTGAATGTTTGCAGTGCTGTAGAACATCTCTTCACCCATGTAACGATTTATTACCAGAATTTTAAGAGATGATAGATGCCGCTATTCCGAAGTGGAAAAATGTCCTGTAGTGTCACGTCCTGTAGTGTCACATACAATGTGCACATTATTGGCATGGATTTACAGTGTTACATTAAGTAACTTGAGCAACACATAGAGGGGTAGTTCAGCTACTGCAGCAGAAAATATTATGGGCTCCTACTGTACCATCGCAAAAATTTACAGCACAACACAACGTACTGTTAGTGCATGGTGGATTTGCCGTCCTGTAGTGTCACGCTATATTTTACTAACATTTTTTTATCTACTAAGTAAGGTTGGATGTAACTTTTGTGCAATTTTTTACATATTCAATAAAGCAACTGATTGGACAATGAAACAAAACATGTAGCTGAAAATGTGAAAATATATTGAATTTAACAACATGCAAAATTTCTGGAATTGTCCTGTAGTGTCACTTGGAATAGCCCAAGTAAAGAAGACTCATCTCTGAGCAAAGTTACGGGCACTCACTCATAAGTAAAGAAGACTCATCTCTGAGCAAAGTTCAGGCACTTCACTCAGAAGTAAAGAAGACTCATCTCTGAGCAAAGTTAAGGGCACTCACTCAAAAGTAAAGAAGACTCATCTCTGAGCAAAGTTACGGGCACTCACTCAAGAAGTAAAAGAGATTCATCTCTGAGCAAAGTTACGGGCACTCACTCAGAAGTAAAAGAGATTCATCTCTGAGCAAAGTTACGGGCACTCACTCATAAGTAAAGAAGACTCATCTCTGAGCAAAGTTACGGGCACTCACTCATAAGTAAAGAAGACTCATCTCTGAGCAAAGTTACGGGCACTCACTCAGAAGTAAAAGAGATTCATCTCTGAGCAAAGTTACGCGCACTCACTCAGAAGTAAAAGAGATTCATCTCTGAGCAAAGTTACGGGCACTCACTCATAAGTAAAGAAGACTCATCTCTGAGCAAAGTTACGGGCACTCACTCATAAGTAAAGAAGACTCATCTCTGAGCAAAGTTACTGGCACTCACTCATAAGTAAAGAAGACTCATCTCTGAGCAAAGTTACAGGCACTCACTCAGAAGTAAAGAAGACTCAAGTTTTGGGAACCACTGAAATCGAGCAAGAAGCTTTGAGATTTCAATAATCTTATGTTTTCTTTTTCCAAGGTTGGATATGACAAAGCTACCGACATCGTCCGAATAAAAATCAATCCAAAGTACTACAGACCCACGGAAGTTGATTTTCTTCTCGGAGACGCAACGAAAGCGAAGAACGCGTTCGGTTGGGAACCTAAGATCAAATTCGAAGCTCTCGTCAAAGATATGGTAGACGCGGACGTAGCCATGATGAAAAAGAATCCCAATGCCTAACGGTAGTAGCCGCTTGCAAGAGTATAAAATGATAAAAAAGGAAAAAATAGCGAAAAGCTAGAAATATTTTTCATTCCAATTTTAAAATTAAATATATTGATAGACCCAGTATAATGGCACTTCTAGTTAAGCTGCTTTCAATACACAACGTACTGTGTTATGTAATTATGCAATCTACACAAGTTAGATGTCTCAATTTAGGTCCAGGATGTGCTATTTAGAATATACCATAATTTAAGTTAAGGAATTTTTACTAAGCCGCAGGCTCCCAACCTTTTCCATCACGTTTACCTATTGGGAAACTGTTTAATTTCCTCCCTAACTTCACATGATTTTCTGTTTCTGTTTGTTGGACAATCTTCAATTAATGTTAAAAACTTCCCCTGTGTTGGGAAATCTCCACTAAGCCATGTTGTGTTTTATTTTTTTTGCAGTACTGTATCCATCCATACGTGTTTCTTCATTTTTTACTGCTTTATTTTTTCTTCAATAGAAATTCTTCATGTAGCATTTTATTAATTTGAACTATAGAATAATTTTATTCATGTCGACCATTTGATACTGGGATTCATGTTGTGTACAAACCCCTTTTCACTTCATTATCCACTGTTACTACAGTTTTCAGCTCTAACGGGCACTACAGAAGTATGTGTACCTATAAGGAGATATCTAAAGTTTTTCGCCTACTTAACATCAAGTTGTGTAAAGGGACTGAAACCTATGGGCAGGGGGTATGTCCACTCGACTAATTCTTCAAATTCAATGTTCCTTCTAGGTCAGTTGTTCCCAAACTTTTTTAAAAAAAATCCTCGACGGATCTCTTGCAATTTTATTAATGATTCCCGCCAGGCCTTGTACACCAAAACAATACTTTAAAAGATCACAACAAAAAAACAATGTGTTGTATAGTGAGAAGAATATAAAGCGCAACTCTCATGGCATCCAATCTGTTTCGATATTTGGTAAATATGCAAAAGGGCAGCGTCGGTCACAGCTCTGCAGTTAATAAACCTTTGGTGGCATGAATTGAACTCTCATTGGGATATCACAGCCCCATAGCTCTGTGACATCACAATGGGGCAGCGTGTTCGAAACAGAAAGTGAAGAATCAGTGTTTCCAGTGGTGATTGCGAAGCAACAAAAGGCGACAAATGTGTATTTGCAAATTTATTAAGCACTTAATTTTGTATTGTCAATCTATTAGCCATATTACAGATTTGTTTCGCGGAACCCCCGAAAGTGCTTCACGAACCCCAAAAGGTCTGCGGACCCTAGTTTGTGAACCACGGATCTAGTTAAACTTATAAATGTTGTCAATGACAAACATCAGTCATGTACGTTTTTTAGTTTTCATTTTTTCTTCAATAGAGAATTATTATTTTTTGAACTGAATTAATCTTCAGACTACCTTATTTTAAATAATCTTGTGAACCCAAAGGTTTCAGAAAAAATGGCAAATGTTATAATTTCGAAAAAAAAAATTATTTGAAAATATGGCTGAGAAATAATTGTCTTTTAATCTGGTATCAAATCAGAATTAGAAGCGATATTCATATTTAAAACAGAAAGTCAAGAGAGTTTGAAAATCAAAAATATGTTTTAAAATCAAAATTGAAGCCTATGAACCATTTACACAATACAAAAGAAAATAAGACACATTCCAAAAAAATCTGTTCAACTTACAAATCCTTATTTGAAGAGTTTTCATCTCGAAAATTTTACTTAGTGTCACTTAGTGCTTTGTATACCAATTAATCCCTATAATGTGCTTTTTGTGTCTGCTGTATGTTTTTATTTTGCTGTTTCTTCAATAGAAAATCTTGTGGCGTTTCATTTAACTGCAAATTATCAATAATTAACATACCATGTACAGTGTGACTCCAACAACAGAACCCAGAACATTTTGGGGGCTCCCGAAGTATGCGAACCAAGATGGCGGACATCGGAATGTAACATGTGTACCAGGTTAGGGTTAGGCCATAATTTTAGGTATAAATACTACGAGAGGCTCTTGGCTAGTATTCAAACTGATAATAGGACTAAAATAAGGAAAATTGGAAAAAAAATTATCGCTCAACCCTGACCTGTTACCCATGTTACGTTCAGATGTCCGCCAACTCTACGCCATATTCTAGAGAAAACATAACTTTTGTGCAAAGTTTCCTAGAGTGCTGAAACTTATGGGCACCATCACACATGAACAGAAGTTTAAGTGTCTAAAAAAATCTAATATTTTCACAGAAAAATTTGAAAATTTTTGGATTCTGTTTTTTGGGGATTACCCTGCTTTCTTATTTTGCTTTATTCTTCAATCGAGTAGTGTTTTTTTATCATTTTTTCAGCCTAACAAAACCTTCAAAATATTCCAATTAATCGTTATATGCGGTACATTTTTATGTAATCATGTCCGAGTTCAGAGAGGCCTGAGGGCTCTGTCGGTCCTCATGAGTTTCAAGCTACAAAACATTGCTATGCCTGATTTTTTTTATTCTCAAAAGAGGGTGTCCCAGAATATCACCCCTTCCCTCTGGTTATGTCCCTGATCTACAGAGGAGAGGCCATGCTCAAAATCATACTCAGCCGAAATACCTATTACTTTTTAACATTCATTAAGCCATCTTATTGACTAATCCTATCTTAATGGCTTTCCTTTCCCTTAGAATAAGCCGAACCCTGCTTTTTCAACAACTCTGTTTCATTGTGTAGCAATGGTTGTATACTTTACTGGCCTTGATAATTACTGGAAAGAGGCATAGCTTTGCTTGTGATACCCAGAAAATCCACCCGGCGAAAATTCCACACAGGAAACATGTCCAAGAAGTCCCTTATTAAATGGAGGTTAAGACTAAATATTGTATTGTAGGAATATTGAAGGAAATTTTTTGGTTAAAAATCCAACCAAAGTAAATTTTTTCTAGATGCCTCTTATATGAAGGATATCGTTGAATTTTGTCAGTGTGGGATATTCCATTGAGAAATTTTCTGTTTCCACTGCAGATATGAAGAAACATGCATAGCCCAGAATGGTGGTTCCATTACATTTGAACCCACGACAATTGCATACTATTGCATCTATGGAAATTTTTATGGATATTTGAACTCATACTAAACCTAACCCATGGATTTTATCACCCCTATATAGATTGAACCCGCGGATATACGGGTGCTAATGTATGGGTTCAAATTTACGGTCACCCAGAATGGAAATACTTTGCCATTGGGTCAATAGCCATCATATTAGAAGCATATTTGGAGTTAAAGGCAGGAAATACTTGAAAAAAGGGTCAAAATACACTTTTCTGAGCTGCCAACTTCATTATGCTATATTCAGTAATTATCGAAAGCCTACTTTGCACATCTTATACATTTTTAGTTCGTAGTTACGACCTTTAGGAAGGTCGAATACATGTATATCTAGACAAGTGTGGATACTGTTGTTGTATGGGGGGTGGCTGTCTGATTCCGAGTTTGAGATAATTTGTCTAAATAAGCACTTCTCAAGCTGTGTTCCACAGTGATCGAAATTGCGAGTGAATTAGTGGACGATGCAACTAGGCCGTGCTTCGGCGTCTCTGTGTCGTAAATTTGTCTCCCGACTGGCAACAAGAAGTCTGCCTTGTGCCAGTCTTGAAATCTTGGCATTTTCGTCAACCTTCCATAAGCTGTTCCGGGGCAGAAAAGTTCGAGAGACTCTTCTAAATTAATATCACACACCCTCGCATGAATGTAGGGAAGACTAAGAGCAATAATGATATGGTACTGATATTTACTGGAATAGTAAATTATTCGAATCGGTTTAGAGCAAATTTTCGCCATTTTGTTTTACTCTTTCCACCAATGGTCGAAGTAGAATTCTCAATTTTTTTTTCATTGAAGCCATATTTTTTCAGCGCAATTCTGACATATGACTCTTTTCTGTATTATTGAAAACCTGTTTTTTTATTGTCAGTGATGTATTCTATGTTCCCAGTAATTTATGGGTCTGGAGGACCTAAAATGATAAGTTACATACAATAATATACCTTCTAAGTATTCGAGATTCGATTCGATTCTGAAATCATCAGCCCTGCTGGTGGCCGCTGAAATACCTAGAGCTACTAAAACTATACAGAAGGATGGTATTGCATTATGCGTACTCTCAGAGGTAAAGAAGACTCCTTCTGAGCAAAGTTTTGAGCGCCCACCGAAAGTTCATGCGCCTGTAAGGCTGTACCCCACTTGATATCACAAGTTTACATACATATATCACAAGTTTAAGTCTCATTATCGTCTCGGCCCCCAACTCGATGCAGAACCCAACAATATATACATTCTAACTAAGTGATAATACTTCCAGCGGAAAATATATTGCTAATTACAACAGTGTTTAAGTTTATTACTCACAGAAACAAAAACAAGCAAAAAACAAAATCTAAAAAATAAACAGTTTGGTAACAATAGCGACAGCAGGAATCTAACTGTAGGCAGGTACGGACCGTATATAAGAATTTTGCGCCCATTCATATTTCGTGTTTCCCTCAAACATATCTATATAACCAGTACTCTGTCCCGGATCATAGGGCCGTAAAGCATTGTGGTAAATACGAGCCCTCGAAATAGGTGTCCTTGCTAACGGTCTCTGTTTCTGGGGTATTACTACGGGTGTATATATAAAACTCTGCTACTCTCGAAACACGTATCACAAGGTCAATTATTGAACATTCGAAATGGCTATGTTCAATAACCAGAAGCGGCCTAGAATGTCTTAAAGAAAGTACTGTGGATTGAAATGAAAAACCAGTCGACTTGAGTTCATTGGAGAAAAACACACGACCAAAACAGAGTGCAATCTGTTTAGGGAAGACTTGGCCAACACAGATGCGCGGACAGGCGTTTCAACTCTTTCCAGCTATGAAAAATTTGCTACGTATAATACAAAATTTTTTTTTTTAAATACCATCACTTCGCCCATAGTGTAATACCTGTCTAGTAAATGCTTGAATGTATCGGTGGCTACTGGAACAGCGCCTCGTTCGCAGTGAATGTGCACAAGCGAGACATTATTTTTTGTTCTCATACTTGCGGAATAAAAGCATTTCATTGCTCAAATTGCTCTCTTTTATACAGCGGATATCAAGGCCGAATCAAACGTTTTGAAAACAGTCTTTGTATGTGTTTTTCAAATTTCATGACATCACAGTTATATTATAGTAGGATGAAAGCTAAAGCATTTAAATAGCTTTTTTCGGAGTTCAAGTCATGGTAAAAAACAACACAATCATGTAATAGCTAAGATTTTTGCTTTGGGCTTGCCGTTTTTTAAGTCCACGTTGTCGCTTGACGTCATACCTGACGTCCTTTCAGCATACATGGAGTGCTTCTTTTTCGTAGGTTCTCTTTCTATGACGTAATCATTTCGATCACGTCATCACAGTAGATTCGATATGAAAATATTCTAATTTTTTGTTGAATAATTCTCTTGCGAAATTGTAAAGTTCTATCTCATAATGCAGGGGTCCGAATCGAAAGAAATTCTTGGATTCGAGACTCATTTCTTTTTTGTACGTCGTTCGGGTCATGTTCTGTTTGATCTGGACAACTAGAAAAAAAATTGAAAAAATTTTGATAATATTGTAGAATAGAGGAAAGACAGGCCTCTACTAGTTTCTGTTCAAGCAGTCGATATGCAATTTTCCAGATTAGGGATAAAATAGTTTATTAAACATTTATCTCGTTCACAGAATTTATCGGGCGAAGGCCAAGCGGTTGAAGCGTTAAGCTGTATTGGCATTGCAGGTTACACTTGTCCAGTTCAAATTCTACGCACAGGGTGTAATAAATAGGCCAGGCAATTCCAAACTAGGGAAATTGCCGCCTTTTCTTAACTTATATATCAGTGACTTCATTTCAAGGCCTCATGGATGAAACTGCATCAATCGCCCGGC